CAATTTCTCTATAATATGCTGGTTCTTTTTTATGGTAACTGGTAGGGGAAGTGTCCTAGGGAGGAAAAGCACACTAATTTCTTTCGCTGTAACTTGGTGCAATGCTTAACCTTTAGACTAAAGATATAGTTCTGCCGCCATTCGGTTTCATGGAGCCAAGCAACACTTGTCCCTTTGAGAGGTCCACCTGTTGGTGATTCCCTCTTTTGAGCACTCACTGGTAGGTCCGCTTGATGGCAATTTGATCCTAGCAGTGCCGATTGTGCCAGCACTAATTTACCACCGATCACCGAAAGCACAACTTTGAGACACGACGAGTGACCGCGAAGGCTGAGGGATCGTCAGAGCTCCCACCGCACCACCGTACAACATAAAAAAAAGCCAAGTTCAGCAAACTGCTGCTTCGCAGTACTGCACCACACGCTCATAATGCTGTGGTAGTCGTCGGGCATATGAATGATTCAAACAAAAAATATTCCTTTTTATTTGTTTTTCAACAGAAACACGTGAAATTCATGTAAGTGGCGATAACAGAACAAAGATTGGTTGGGATTTGTGGAGCAAAGATTTGTTCTTGGTTAATCGGATTTGATCGTATATAGAATAAGGTGGCCCGTATTGTACCAGTAACGTAAGATAAAATTCACTAAGCTTCCTTCCTTGCTGACAGTCGTCATGTGGCATCGTAAAACAATGCGGTATTGGAAAGAAAACAGCCAACGAGAAATCATATTAAATGATACGTAGCAACTGAATTTTGGAATTTCAAGAAAAGCAAGCAGTGAAAAAAACTGCGCTGATTTGCATTTTTCTGTCAGGATTTCTGACTTGCTTCTGACTGATACTGGTACTAGCTTTTTTGAATGAAATAGTTCTATAGGTACACTGCAGAAGTTACCCGATGCTAAGTGACGCTCACATGTGGACTATAAATGAATCTATATTTGAGACTCGAAATTAAAATCAGATTTAAATGAAGTACAAAACTGACCCTAGGCTTTAGATTTCAAAAATAACGGAAGATTTTAGTCCTATAAATTTATAATTCTGGTTTTATTTCCAAATTATTTGGAACGGACGAGCAATTTAACTTTACAACCCAAGTACCTCCTCATCTCAAAGACAGCAAATACAGAGAGGGTTTTGACTATGATATTTTTAAAATGAATCTTTGTTTACAACTAGATTCCATGGTTTTTTTCAATAAGTAAGTGCAACAAACATTGTCAGCGAGGCAAGAACTCGCGTACGTTTCACTGCATTTACTCACTGTCACCTCATAGTATTTTAGTGAAGCGAAGCATAATCGTTCTGGCTTCTTGATGTGTGGCTCCTCATTTTATTGAAAGGAATTTTATGCTATTCATAGAAACACTAATGCTTCGATTTCTCCGTAGGACACTTTAAGCATCAGTAATTAATCACCTGAAAATGCGGTATCACAATGAGTGACGAACAGACGCGATTAAAATTTTGGTATTTAGACAGGATTTGCCGAAGCGTTGTTAAAAGCCTTCAATATTATTAAAACACAACCACAAGACTACTTTTGCTTTCCGTTCTAATCCCCAAAACTTTTGTGCAAATCATTATTTTTGTACACGACAATTTTATCTAAAGTTTTTAGGCGTCGTCTTCAACTGCAGTCACCTATCTGTGATCACTGGACAAATTTCAAGAATTTAAAGGCAAATGTTTATGTCTGGATCAGTGTAAAATTTTTCAAATAAACGGTCAATGCAGATCGGCTTATTCCGTGATGAGCCTATCCAGCAAAGTGAGTGAAGGCTGTGACAAGGTTACTTGGACAGCTCTCGTGACATTGTGGCAAGGTTATTTATGCAGCTCCTGCATAATGCTTTTGTTCAGAAGTTGCGATGTATTTTCCAGGCAGCTAGTTTGAACCAATTTTTTTCTAAAGATTAGTCCATTTGATTTCACGAATTCGGCAGAACACGATGCGCCTAAGCAGTGAAAGCAGTGTTGAAAAAAAAAAATAGTACATACAAGTCTGAGTCGATGCGTGATTTGAGCCTGTGCATTCTGTAGCATGTAGTAATTGAAACATAAAGCTGAAAGGATAGAAACTCATTCGTCACTTCTCATTCGTCACTTGAAAGGAATCATTTGCATGTCAACCAAACATTACTGTAGTCAACAAGTGGTCATTACTGTGACGATGCAATTGTAGCCAACGAAGTCTACTGTAGATGACATGTGGTGATTACTGTGGTTATACAATTGTAATCGTGAAATTTACAGTGGGCAATAAAGAAAGATTATTGTGATGTTGCAACAGTAGCAAGCAACAGTTCACTGCTGGTGCGTAGGCGCTGTTGCTGTTTCTCGTTGTATACGAGAGTACAATACTCTTTTAAGCGAATCATCACGTATACGCTGGCATTCGTCGATGTATGATTTGCCAGAGCCAGGTGCAATCGCTGGCCGAGGTTCGCTATGCACTGTTTGGTTTAGTGCCTCGATATATTCCCTGTAACAAAAACAACTTAAATTCGAAATGAGCGCGGCATTAGGTCGGCATTCTGAAGTGAAGTGGTTTGGCCCCACTTTTATAGGCTTTGCGGCGTGCAGCGGCAGCACAAAACGCAAACTGTCATGCCCCTCTGTGCGTGTGTGCGTGCGAATGCGTTTTATCCTGCACTTTTAACTCGAGAACCACGCCAGAAAGCTGAAACTTTAGTAGGTGTTTCTTGCCCGCATGTGACTCCGCAAATTTAAATCCAGTCTCCCCGCAATCCTGAATTTCGCGCACTGCTCCGTAAAAGTTTTGGCGGGGAAAATTATTATCTCGGGAACCACGGAAGCTAAGAAACTAAATTTTAGGGCAATATCCCTTGCCTAGTATACGACCCTGAAATTTAAATTCAGCTTTCCCGCACCCGCAGGTATTGTGCATGCCGCCGTGTAAGTTTTCGCCGGGAAAATTGCTTTCTCGGGAACCACAAGAGCTGGGAGGCTAAAATCTAACGAGAATGCGTCCTGCTTATATGCGACTCCGCTAATTCGAACTCATCTTTTACGTAAGCCTGGGTTTCACTTACGATCTCGTGAAAGTCCCGATGGAAAAATTACTGTTTCGGAAACCAAAAAAAGATAGGAAGTCGAATTTTTGGCGAGTATCCTTTGCTAAAATGTGGCCTCGAAGATTCAAATTCAGCTTTCAAGTATGCTTACTTTTCACGCACTAGTACGTAAAATTTTTGGTGAGAAATTTCGTGGCTTGGGAGCCAGGACAAGATATCGACTATTTTTACACAAACCGACTGTACAACAGTGAAAATTCTTAGCAGTGAAAAGTTCTCTGGACGGAACTCCGCTAAACGCATGATCGCATCAGCTATCGCTATTTATTTTGGGCGCAGCTATTCATTTTCAGTCTGCTGAAGCACCACTGAATTTAAGAATACGAAAATTGTTTCTTCTAAGAACTGTGTTTTCTTTACGACTGAGCTTCTGCTTGCGCTACCAGACTGTTGGTCCTGAATTGTTGCCATTGTAAACATTTAAAATAATTTCGACAAATGACTAAAATATTAATAGAATTTTTTAAGCTCGAAAATAAACTAACTTTGCAACCAACAGGGTTTCAATTTTCGAAAGTTTTTGTGCAGTGCCTCGCCTTAAAGAAACTAGTTCCCGGAGTCTATCATATGCATTATTAATTTTGCGCGTTCGAATTCGTTCCCGTTCATTTGTTTTATCACGCCGATGCTGAGATTTGAGCAGAGTATCACCCGTCGGATTGGGTACTCCCTGCTCTCTGAAAAATGGCAAAGAGGATTTAAAGAGGACTTTTTTCAAAGAAATAGAAAATATTTTTGCCGAACTGCAATGAAGCTTCTTCCATTACTATTTGGAACAGCATGTAAGAAAGTCACTCATTTATTCTGAGTTTTTAGACTTTATTATCCCACGTCTATTAGCGATGTGATATTGTGTATTAGAAACAAAATCATGCTAAAACCCAGGTAGCAACGCATCAGGCTTATCGGTGCGACGATGCGCTTCTGCGAAAATGTTGAAACAAAGAGATGTTAACAGTGTAAATTGTTGTTTTACAGTTAAATGTGTACTCATGATGCATGTAAGAGGAAAAAGGCGTCGGCTAGGGCGATAGTGTTGCTTCGCGGGGCCGCGTGAAATTTTAGCCTACAGCGTGTATGACTATCGCAAATTTTGCAAGATGCTATTAGCAAAAAGTACCCTCAATTCTATGGTATGTTTACGCGAGATTCTAAATCAAATACTATCAAATGTGGTTGCGAAACGAACCTTCTCAGCGGTATGCTTATTATTTGCGTGCATCCTCACCCCCTCTCATCCTAACCTAAAAGTGGTACAGGATATACAGAAGTTTCCCTCACAATGCCCCCGTAACAATAGAAATCAGTGCTGGCTTCATTGCCTTAAACAGAAAACTAGCGAGTGCAATGCATCGAAAGCTGGGATAAGTACAACCGCCGCACTTTGGCCTTGAATAGAACAGGTCATTTATTTAAGCAGTTTACATCATTAGCTTTCTATTGTCATTTTTTTCTTTCGTTCTAGCAATATTTTTGGAGGAATTTCAGTGCCGTAAAACGTAACGCCGGTCCTCTCCTCTTTCGTCCTCGAATGTACAGGGAATATGGGAACAGCTGCTACTCGATTTTGACAAAGAGATTAGTGCTCACGCAAACGGACTGATATGTCAAATTGGTGCAACACAAAATAGTACTCAAATTTAAAAATCAAAAACTTCGAATTTTATTTTAGGAGAATATGTGAGCAACCAGGCCTGATGTCACATTGATAGCAGCACAATAACTGGGAATGGTGCGGAATACATCGTACGTTAAACATGTATTAACCCTTGATACTTTTCGGAATTCTACGTTTTTTATGCATTTTTGCATATTTATGCAAA